ACCTTTTATTTAATCATTCCACCACCCTTAATGTGCCCCATTGGAGGTCAAGTTTCCAGGGCATGAAGCTGTAACCAAACCATAGTGTGTATTGTCTATTTTATTTTATTATCCATTTCATTTTGGTGAAGTTTAGTTTATTACTTCCTTTGTTGCTTGTGTTTTGGTATAGTATCTCAGAAAGCATTTTGAAAGATCACCAAGATTTGCAAGTATATTTTCTTCTAAAAGTTTTATAGCTCTGAGGTTTATTTATTTATTTGTTGGTAGTGGGGCTTGAACTCTGGGCCTGGGCACTGTCCCTCAACTCTTCAGCTCAAAGTGAGTGCTCTACCACTTGAGCCACAGTGCCACTTCCAGTTTTCTGGTAGTTCATTGGAGATAAGAGTCTCATGGACTTTTCTGCCTGGGCTGGCTTGAACCACGATCCTCAGATCTCAGCTAGGATTACAGGCCTAAGCCACTGGCGCCCAGCAAGTTCTTAGGTTGAGAATTGGAATCTCCTTTGAGGGAATCTCTCTGTATATGGTGTGGTGATGAGTCATACTGGATGAGCTTAAGAACTGGGACAGTGAACAGGAAAAATAAAATTAGATAAGGAATGAGTTGGGGTGGGGTCCAGGTGCAAAAACTCCACAGACATGTTCACTCCCCTTGTGGTCCCCTGAGTCTCTGGGAGATCAGCCCTTTCTAATATTTTATCTGCACAAAAATTTCCACTTCTGCATCAGCATATGGCTCCACCACCTCCTCATCACCACCTCCAGTTTTCCTTCAACGAACATCCTCTGCAACCTACATCCAACATATCTACTTTTGGTCTCTCCTAACCCTCCCAGCTCTGTGTACATGTTTCCAGGCTACACATTCTTCTCATGTTTAATCTATCTTCTGTAAACCAAATTGTTATTTTATTTGTCTGTCAGATATTTACCAAGGGTATTGACAGGGTGAATTCAATGCCTTTTCTAAAACCCTGACTTCTCATGTACTTTATAGAGTGAGCTGGCTTTGAACCACACTCCTCAGATCTCAGCCTCCTCAGTAGCTAGGATTACAGGTGTGAGCCACTGGTGTCTGGCTGAACAAGCTACCTTTTAAGCCACACTCCAGTCCTACTTTTGTGGTTTTGGTTAACATTGCCTAGGTAAAAACACACCCACAAAATGTGAAGTAAAGGTCTACCTAGAAAGACAGAAATTATTCTCAGAATTTGAAACAAAGCATTTATTGTAGGGAATTATTACACCTGCCATTATTACATTGTAATCTAGATGTCAGCAATGATAAGACTGCTTTTCCCCTTGGCTGGACATGAGGTAGTGTTCCTGGAATCCAGGGGTAAGAGTTACCTATGCAAGTTGTCAGCTTATTGTGTCTTCACTCTACATCCATTTTTTTTTTTTTTGGTTGTGGGGCTTGAACTTGGGGCATAGGCATCGGCCCTGAGCTTTTTTGCTGAAGGCTAGCGCTCTACCACTTGGAGCTATAGCTCCACTTCTGGTTTTCTGGTGGCTAATGGGAAATAAGTGTCTCACAGACTTTCCTGCCCAGATTGGCTTTGAACCATGATCCTCAGATCCTCAGCCTCTTGAGTAGGTAGGATTACAGGTATGAGCCACCAGTGCCCAGCTTCTGCATAAGTTTTTGTAAGTAGATTAGTTTCAAAGCCTTAAGGTAATATCTGGCTATCACTTTGATTTCAGCCTTAGGAAACCCTCAGTAGGGAGTTTGGATCAAATGTAGCAGATTCCTAAGACCCAGAATGTGTGAGATAATAAATTTGTGTTGTTTAAAACACTGCATTTAATAGGAAACACAGTTATTGCAAGTATTTGTCAGTTGGCATGTTATTAAGCATTGTCAGTAGAGGGCACTGAAGAAACACTGCAGTAGGAAGGATTTTTGTCTTTTCTTGATTGGCAGGTGTCCCGCTCACCTGTGCCCCCTAAAGGTGGGCAGTATTTATAATGTCTTCCTTGCCCAGGTACTGACATGCATGTAGCTTCTGCATTAATACCCCCTGAGCTTCCCTTACAGTAGCTTTGAAATGCTCTCTCCTTGAAAATGGCTTCCCTCAGTGGGCTCTGCCAGCATGGCTCCTCAGCAAAGCTTCTCCACTACCCAGTGAGTGAGCCATGGCTGCTAGGGAATAGCTTGATAAAAGTTCACAGGCACTACTTCCTTTGCTTTAACCTTCATGCCTCTTCCCCAAGCTCCAAAAGAGTTACCAAACCAAAAAATCATTAATATACTCTGGGAACTGAGCAAGAATATTTTAATTGCGTACTTATAGACACATTGAAAAAAATTAAATGATTGCTTTGATCACAATAGTGTTCACAAAGAAAGGGAAATTTTTCTTAGGGAAGGGCCCCTGGCTGGCAAAAAAGCACATAATGAAACGTTCTTTGTTATAGAGATGCTCAGTGGGGTTGGGAGAGATCAGGAAGAATGATGGAAAGGCTGACACTGATCAAGATGTATTGTACTCGGAAACTGACATGTTGAATTGAAATGTAGATGAAGATTGGTAAACTGACCAGACTTAGTTTCTCTAGGCCTGATAATACCAGAACAGTGTAATAACAAGGATGATTTAATGTACCAATTGTATTTGGGCAAGTCCTTCTAGATGTCAGAGCATTCCTATTTTTTTTTTTCTTGTCTGAAAGCTGGTGGTTACTTGTTGATATATATATTTTTGGTCCAGTCGTGGGGCTTGAACTCTGGGCCTGGGC